CACAATTTGTCACGTCAAGGAAATAAACTGTACAGAGGTGTGATGTGTTAATTAACAAATGACATTTGAAACAATTTTGGATGTGGCTTTCATAGCAAACATAGCATAGCATTTTATGAATTCGATTATCACAAGTACTAAATTTTAAGCAGACGCAGATTGCAAAGACAGTCAATGTTGACATTGATTCGAAAAGCCGATTTCTTTTTGTTTATTAAAAGGCAGAGAGATAGAAATGTTTCCTGGAAACACAATACAAAATGTCATCCATGAGTGGATAAATATCCATTCTTAAACAACTTAGCATCCATAATAAACGTGAATTCCTAGACTTTCATAGATCTTCTTTACACAGAGAAGAAAAAAAATTTCTACGCCTACAGATGACTGTCAAAAAAATGTATCTCCCCTAGAATGCAAAATAATTCGTTAGTATAATACATTCGATCTTTACTGGTACTGAAATAGCGTGGTTTTGTACAAGCCTAAGTTAAGCTCATAAATGTCTACTTAATAAAAATAATAAAGATGAAGATACTGGTCATAATAATTAATCAAATTCTGATAAAGCATCACTTTCAAAAGTCGGGCAAAATATTAATAGTTTTATGCGTTGGATGTTATATTCAGTTTGATCTAAAATATTTTTTTCCTTTCAGTGGTCGCTTTTTTTTTCTTTTTTTTTCATATTTCCTTTCTCTCTCTTCCTGTCCATCCGTCTTTCTCTTTGTTTTATTTCGTTGTTCATTTTGAATTCTGTCTTTTACCGAATACCTAATATTTACTATAAAGCCATATATTAATGTAAAAACGCGAGATATCGAAACCTCTCTAAGATATAACAACCAAACGACTTCATTTTTCTCAACTGACCAAAATATTTTCAAGTGGTTATCAAAAGAGAAAACTTACGTTGATAAAAAAAGAAATGAAAAAAGGCAGAATTTCTACAATTTGAAATCGCCATTATATTGTTCCATCCGTATGCAAAAATCAATAATAATTATTGATCTTTACTTCTTGTTAAGCATAAGGCACTCATCATTGATTGGTGGTTATAAAGTGTTATCTAGTCATTGATTGGTTACCGCCCAATATTTCGCATTTCATTGATTGGTTACTTTTGGTCCGCCTCGATCTGGAATAATCCACTTTAAAGGTGTCTCACTATCAGATCGATTGCTGATTATTCCGTATACCTGTCCACTGACTATATTCATTTGAAGAGTTCTATCCATGTTGAAGACATTGGATTACGTATTGGGATCCATTTCGACGTCAGTTACACAATTCAACAAATGACGGCTTCCTTCAACAATGTTAGAATCATAAAGTTATAAAGAAAAAAATATTTAGTTTTGCACAAGGCCGCAGTTATTGGGCTCTAGGTAAAGCTCCAACTCTCCACATTAATAAATTAGTCTGTGATATAAACCTGCTAATTAGTGCACAACGAAAGAGAATAATTTGAGAATTGAAGAGCTTTTTTGATTTCAAATATGAGTAAAGTGCGTATTAGCTCAATGTTATATTTATGAATTGTAATTCAGAGGAGAATTTAATAGCGATTATATTCAACACTAACATTTAATTTACGATATATACTTTTGGAAGAGAAAATTGCTTAGACAAAAAATTACAAGGTTGAAACCTGAGTTGAAATTTATTGATGGCTAGATTACAGTGATGTGTTATCCAAATCGGATTGATCACACTGAGAAAAAAAATAATATGAAGAGTCTGGGTCTGAACGAAGAAAAAGGGTGAAATGAATGATTTTGATTTTATGCCAAGATTTTCTTTCAAACAACAAAGAATAATCTTTTAACAATTAAAGGGAATAAATAAGAAATGATTTCTGCTTAACTGTCCGGTCAATTCCTAAAAGATAAACCAGTTGACTCACTTGATACTTACGCCATCTACAGACATTATTTCCAATAAAAAATCTATTTTATTTGAGTCACCATATACATTGCTATATCTCCTTTACAATACAATAAATTGAATACAATAAAAATTAGCTAAAATGAATTATTAAGGGGCATCACCAGAAAGTGTTGAGGGGAAAATCTATAAATAAAATAAAACTTTGCCCCTTAAATGAGCAATGTTTGACTGACAATGCCATATACTGAGCACGAGTTGAGGTGGACAGCTTCACTACGATGAATTATATTGGTTCAATAGGAGGCAGATTTAAAAGGAAAAATCATGCAACATTGTTCAGATTGAGTAGATACCGTAAAAGCACTGCTCTGTCGAAATATATCTGCAAAATAAAAGTTGGCCAAAACACCCTACTCGAAATTCTACAAAATATTCAAGAAAACTATGTTAACGTACAAAATACAGCAGTCGTAATTTATATTTAGTTGTATTTTCCTGTTACCATAACTTTTATGAATCAAATTTAATTTTTGATTGTAAAAAGTGAACAGATGGAATTATATAAATAATAAACAAGATTCTTATTTTATATATATATTTTTTTAAATAGGAAAAGGCGAAATTTGAATCGTCTTTTATTCCAAAATATATGTTAATATTTTTGTTCCGATTTTTATTTTAATTTTTTATTTTTTTATTTACATCCGTGTACCGATGAGAAGGTTATAGAATTATTCAGTTCCAAGCATCAAACATGATTTTACCTGGTATACCCTTATCAGACTGGGTCCCATCATCGGACAATAATAATAATAATAATAATAATAATAATATGCGGTACATGGGCATTTCAGTCGTAGTTGGAGCCCTCGGATTGAAAAAGATTCCGATAGATTCATTGAAGGAACTACCGGTAGCCCAAACTTTAAAGAAATACAAAAAATTGTACTCCCAAAGGGCTTTATCGATGTAAAATGTGTGTGATATTAGGTTCTTTTTTGTAGCGGGGTCCTCAACAAATGCTCAGTGTAAAATGTAATGATGCCAACTCTGATCTTAAATCTCTGATTGGGACCGTGAAAGAAGTGATTATACACCAGAAACCAAAGGAAGTAATAATAATAATAATAATAATAATAATAATAATAATAATAATAAACTGCAGTAATCGGATTAGGAGGCTACTTCACAAAAACTAATGACCTTCACCTACAAATAGTGGAACATCAAATCCATTCATCAACAAAAATATGCACTCTTCAAGAAATAGCTTAATGTACCTGAAAGTCTACAAAAAAAAAAAAACGGAGCAAATAATATGTATGCCAAATGAGTAAAACAGAAAGCAAAATAAACTGACCAAATTAAATTACAAAAAACCTGGGAGGGCAAGGCGTTGCATGGCAAATACCTAAAAAGAACGAAATAAGCAGATGTGGACCAACAGAGAACACATCAGTGGCTGAGGAGCACGGGGTGGAAACTGAGGCAGAAGGCCTAATTATTACAGCCCAGGATCAAAGCCTCGTAACCAGATCCTATCACTGTCATGTAATCAAGGATCGAACCCGAAATACAGGATCTGCGGATAATAGGATGAAATTGGCTACCATATTATCTCAGGATGTCCGGAACTCGCAAAAAAAGAATAGAACCACGGATATAACAATGTAACGAAATATGTGCAATAGAGCCGATACAAGAAGCACAAAATCGAAACCACTGAGAGATGCTATGACTACCAACCAGACACAGTTACCCAAAATAACGATGTAACTATCCCCCTGGGACATGCCAATTCAAACTGACAGGAAAATAAAAGCCAACAGACCTGATATTATCATAAAAGACAATAAATTCAGGAAGTGTAAGCTTAGACATAGAATTACCATCTGAGAGATACACCTCCATAAAAATTATAGAGAAAATATCCAAATACAAGGACCTGGAGATCGAAATTAACAGGATGTGTGGAATGAAGACTGAGACTGTACCAATAGTAATCGGAACACTGGGCCTTTGTAAGAAAAGGAATGGTCAATTTTATTAATAGTATCCCAGATAACATCAACATACAAGTTGCCCAAAAGATCATTCTCCTAGGAACATCCCATATACTAAGAAAAGTGCTATCAATTATAGAGCAGTTCTTCTATAGGGCCTAAGGACCATAGTTTGGACACGGTTCTACAGGATACAAAGCAGGAAACATAATATACACAAATAATAATAATAACAACAATATTATTATTATTATTATTATTATTATTATTAATGATGAAATGTATGGATCAAAAAAGAGGAATGAGGATAACAGTCGGAATTATTTATTGGATGATATTTATTTGAGAATTTCATTTCAGTTTTCATGAGTAACTTCAAAAATTCTCATCATCTCTCCTTGATTTTTTACCTCCGTCCAGATTTTGAGACGAAAACGAACCGAATGAATATCCAATTATAAAAAAAGCAAGTCACAAAAAAGTGCTTTTCATTACTTAATATATCGATCCATTTTTTCAGACATAGGAAATCCAAAAATACAAAGAACCAAACAATAATAAAGAAAGGAATTGAATATGAATTGTCGACAGACTGTTTCGTTGCTTGGCAACAGTGTAGAATAAGGTATTTGGTAGGAAGAAAATGTGAAATTGCATGGTAAAAAAAAAATTGGCTCGAAATAGGAGTGATGGGGTGGGGAGCAGAAAACAGTAAAATTATTAAAGCAGAATTGAAATAAAAAAAAAGAGGTAAATATAACCATATTTTTATTTTACGCTGTCCATTTGCTGGATTCCATGTTTAAAAAAAAATAAACTTTATTGTAAAATCGTGGATGGTTGTAAAAATAAGTGAAGGAAAACATACAAAGTGAAAAAGTAGGAGCAAGAGGGGAGTGGCGAGGAAAAAAAGAGATGAGAGAAAAAAAGAAAGAAATGCGAACAAAGATGAGAGGAGTAAAAATTAGGGGATGAAATTAATGAGGGGGAGAGAAGGAGAGAGAGGGAAAATGAGCGATAGGAACGTAAATCTATGATGGGAAGTGGGGTGGGAAATAACATGGAGGTAGAAAAATGCGCTAAACTTAAAATGGGTTTGCCAGATGACTAAATGAAAGACGGATGTAAGATAGATAGATAGATAGAGAGAGATATTTTGATCATGCACAGAATAAACGAGATAGATAGATAGATAGATAGATAGATAGATAGATAGATAGATAGATAGATAGATATGAAGAAAGAAAGAAAGACTATAGGCTGATTTTATGAACAACGAGAGAGAGAAAGAGAGAAATATCTATGAGGTCTCTTACCTGGATGAGATAACTCCGTCTATTCCACTGGAAATAGTGAAAGATAAAAATGACTTAGACGTACAAAGGACAGGCAGTTTTGGAGAGTTATGACCAACCAAGTACTGAGGTGACACGGTACATAGAAGACGACTGATTAGGATGTAAAAGCCAATATTTTGGCGTCTGAATTTTAGGGCAGGCTCTGCCAAATTAAGTCAATTAGTGAAACATATTCGTCCTTCTTTTAGTCAACCTTGTGTTGTGTGAAGACAAATTGAGCAAATCCAATATACAAGCTGAGAGCCATTGATGTTAATCTGATGAAATTGGTATAAACATACTGGAGAGATAGAAACAGGAAGAGAGATAGATGAAAGAAAGAAAGATAAAATACATTGACAGATGAGAAAATGGGTAACAGATGGAGTTGACAAGAAAAAAAGAAAGATGACAAAATGATGAGAGAAAATGGAGTAAAAAAAAAAGAAGTCTCAACAAGATAAAAAAAAGAACATCTGAAAAGAAAGAAATCGATGTATTAGCAAAAATTCAACAACCATCGAGCAATTGTTCCGCAGGTCAATCCGAACTTTACGAACATTGTGTGGCCGTCATTGTATGGCTGACAATCGTGTTACTGTCTGAGATTCCAATTAGGAATTTCTGTCTGAATTTCTGGGATGAGGAGCTATCATTACTTACTCCATTTATATTCGCACTATTATCCTCCTCTTTGTTGCTGTTATCACAAAGTTTCGGCCGTTTTACCCAGCAGCCTTTCTCAAGTGTATATTAAACCAGGTAACCTACAGGACGTTCCGAACTGAACACTTTATTTAATCTACAGGAGTAGAGTGTTCTCCTTCCACTGCCTACGTTCCTCGTCTAGTTCTTATTTTTTAGTACTGCTCAGTTATTAATCGCCCGTTTCCACTAAATCCAAGTACATATTGCCCAAACCAGGTATTGAACTCACAGCCACTTTGTCATCATATAAACGAACCAGCGCTTTAATCTACTAGGCCATTTTCTCGAAGTACTGAAGATAACTAGACGAGATATCCCTAGACATGCGTAGTGGAACGAGAACACTGTACCCCTGTAGATTAAATAAAGGCTTCATTTCAGAATTCCCTGTAGGTTACCCCCGATCAATAGACACCTGAGGAAGACAGGAAAGCACAACGGCCGAACCTTTGTGATAACAATAACAAATATCAGGACAATAGTCCGAATATAAATAGTGGAAATAATGAAATGGGTAGGTATCGACAGCTATTCTTTATCATCTATTGCTAGTACATTTGACATTCACTAGGGGCTCAATTATTGTGGCCTTGTGTCAAAATTTTCTCAACTGAAAATAAAACTGCGCGTCTCATCGTTGTGCATTACCAAGTGTTGAGTGTAATTACTACAATGAGTTGCATTCGCACTAGATGTGCTTAACTTTTAGCTTTGTTCCCATCTAAGCCAGGCCTTGTAAATTGTTTGTCTTATTCACCATGATGAAGTTGCTAGCAAACTAGTAACACAGACAATTCCTTCGATGTTTTAAGTGTGAGACAAAAGGGTCCCAATGAAGTCACACTGATTAAATATCTGTATTTCTAAACAGTTTGAGAAGACAATGACATTAATGACTGGAACATTAAAAACACTTAAAAAGAAAAATTAGATGGAAGAAAATGACAGTAGACATCTTGTGTCGTAAAGTAGGACAGGTTGAAAGAAGCAAGAGAATGGTGCTGTGAAGTCGATTCTGTGGCGACCGAATTGTTGGCGGCTTGTTGTTTGACAATAGTCGGCATGATGTCGTTATCATAAGAATGGCTTCTATTGAGAAGCAAAACTGACTCTGGGTTGAGAGGAAATCTTAATGGTTGATTAGGAAAGAACGGATATAAATGAAAAGAGGGAAGAATTAACAATTTTACATCTACAGAAGGAAAAGCACAAAATGAAAGAAAAAGGGTGAATGCTTGTATGTAATTTCATATAAGGAAAGTAAACCAATTTCAAAAAGGAAGGTCAAAAAAGAGACAGAGTATAAGAAGAAAGCAGGAAAAAAAGGACATTGCGAAAAGCTTTAATGAAATTATAGATTACAAATTATGCGCAGGTCCAAAGACGGAGAGAAAAAAGGCAACTTTTTATTAAAATGAACGGAAATAAAAGAACGAGAAAAAGAAAGTGAAAATAATATCAGAATACAAAAAAAAAATCTTAACAAAAGCTGAAATTTAAAATTTTATGAGCGAATTTACAAAAATACCCCCAAAGAGAAGATATTCATAGAATATAATTACTGACAAAATTAGAATATGAAACCAAGAAAAATGGAGTCCTGAATTCTGAAGACTCTCAAAGACCGAATACAAAATGCCTTTGAGAAAATAATTCAATATTTCGAGAATTAATAAGGTTACATTATTGGTGATTTTTATAAAGAATATATCTGTCAATATTTTGCCTTTTCTTTATTAAAACCAGGAAGATGTGGCCTTACGATAGCAGCTATTAATTGACGGTGGGAAAGACTCCGATTCAATATGCAAATTGAAGATTGTGAAAGGATAGTTTAATAATTAACCATTACGGCCTGCAACAAAAACAGATGAATAAAAATATTGCGACGACGATTCAGTTTTATAATACACTATTGGCATCACCTTTTGATGTCATCATATTTTTGAAGACACTGACACTATTATAAGCAACGAGAAATGCTTATAAAATATCCATTATTTACATTATTCGGACTAGTGTCTTCATCTTTGTCGCCATATTTATTACAACGTTTCGGCCTTCTTTAGGTGGTTGGAATGTCGAACTTAGCCCTTTATTTCGCTCTCTGGGGTAGACTGTTCTAGCTCCATGGATGTCAGTTATCTCCTGTTAATTTCCCTCTGAAAGTTCTACACTGCCCTAACCGGGTATTGAACCGGGTATACTATTTGGGTTCTGTCACTGGATCTAACCAACGCCTTTATCCACTGTTCCATGTGTCCTTGAGGACAGCTGTGTATGAATTTCTGGGTATTATAAAACTAATGTTTTTACCAGTGCTCATATTGCAATTTTATGCTGTTATCATTCCATGTTTTTACCAGAGCTTATATTGCCACAAAGATGAGGAAAATAGTCCGAATAATGTAAATAATGTACATAATACCTCATCTCAGAAATATAGACAAATACTGAAAGGCCGAAACGTTGTAATAAATATGGCAACAAAGATGAGGACAATAGTCCGAATAATGTAAATAATGTACATAATACCTCATCTCAGAAATATAGAAAGTTATAAAATATCATTGATGATTATTTTTACAATGATTGCCATAACGTCCAGGAAGATTCATGTTAAATTGTGTGCTCGAGAAATATAAATTTCGTGTAAACTTACCCCAATTCAATCTGCCAAGGAGAAGTTTTAAATGCGAAACGAACAAATGCATTACTTACTAAATGCTCCATGACTTTAATTTCTAGCGAAATTTAGCATTCGTAGCAGGAATATCGTCAATATTAAATCAAATAATTTTATTACACAACATATTTCTGAACTCATATTTTTTCTTTAGTTATTTTTATAACACATTACCTGCCAAGCATTGAAACCTTCCTGGTGAAGACTCAGCTACGATGGGTAGGACATGTTTCTGAAATGAAAAAAATTCTTACTATATGGGGAGCTGTCATATGACTACCGCAAGATGGCTGCCTCAAGGAACTGACACACTAAATAAGTATTTCTTTAATCAGAATATAACCAGCACATACGTGTGGACAAGAGTACCTTCCAGCCATCAAGTATGACATACTACCAGTCAACAAGTAATTTTGTTGGAAAACCAACGAAACAGAATTGCCACGTAGAGCTCCCTATACACAAGATATTCACATATAGCCACTTTGGAAGTTCACGCTGATCTCGTATAAATGTTACAAGCCATTAGCTCGTAGACATCAAGTAAGGAAAAATTGAACAAAGCTTCAAATTCGTCTTTTACATCGAAGCAACTACCAAGAGAAGAGATGCTAATCTGTTCGTCTACCTCACTCAAGAGTTCCTTGCTTCTTTTCAAAATCATTATGTTTTCTTTTATGCCAGCGACAATTAAGCCAGAGGGAAAAAAAATAGCAAACCTTACCGTATAGCTTAGGACATTGACAACCCTAATTGAGTGGGCGTGGTTTGAATTCCGCTGATGTGAGATCCAGTGATTGCCTTTGTTTAAGTTTTTTTTATATGCTGTGTACCCATCAGGATCATGGCTCTCCACAATTTCCTGTCCCTTGCAGGTCTAAATAAATCCTGTATTTTTGCTATTTCTAAACCCGGTTCCAACATACATTTTCTCAAGCTCGTCCAGTATATTACGCGTTATTTTTTTTCCTTTTGTCCCCAATCTGTCCTGTGAGTAACAGATTTACCAAGTCCTCTTTCCTCATTCTGTGTTGCATGATATTAAGTATAAATTTTCTTTTTATTTCCTTTTTCTCTAAAACCTCACATGTTCGTCTCATATTATCCTCAGCATCCTTCTGTAGAACCACATTTCTATTGCTTCAAGTCTCTTCTTCATCTCTTAATCCCTATCTTTAGTTTGACCGATGGATTTTCATTTGAACTTCAAATTACCATTCACATAATCTGATTCATCTAATAATTCGCGAAATATGCGAAATAATAAAATCAGTTATCTTCACACAATACAGGAAGGCCGAAGAATGCATATCGGTCTTAATATCTAATCGATTAGTTCGTCTTTTTTCTCCTTGTCTTCCTCTATTCACTCCCCCTTTTCTCTTTATTTAGACATTTTTTTCTTTCCTTTTACTGCCTTCGCATCTTTTACTATTACTTCTTTTTCATATCCAGCTATATTTTCTTCTCCACCCCGTCCCCTTCCCACTAAACGATTTTTTCCTCTTCTTTATTCTCCTCCTCATCCTCCTCCTCCTCCTCCTTCCAAGTTCCTCTTTTTGCCAACATTTCAACTGATTTCCTTAATTTTTCTCTCTTTTCAGGACGAAAAGAATCAAATCATGACCACCAACGTCTGGCTTCGTCACGTGAGTAAAAAAAATGTCTTATCTTACTTTTTACTTCTTAAATATTTATTTATTTATTGCTTTGGTTTTTTTTTTTTTTGCTTTCTTTTCTTCCACTTTTTCTTTTTGCTTGTTTCTTTCTTTCTTTCTTTCTTTCTTTCTTTCTTTCTTTCTATCTTGTGCTTATAGCTATCGATGTATCTTTGTTACTTCTCAAATATTTATTGCTTTCTTTCTTTTGTTTCTCTTCTTTGTTTCTCCTTCCTTCCATCTTCTTTCTTTCTTGCATCTTTTGATTTTTCTTTTGATTTTTCAAGAAAAAGTCTTCATACGTCTAGATTTTTCTGTCTATGTCTTTTTTTCCTTTCCTATATTTCCTATTCTGACCTTTTAATTGTGTGCTTCTTCTCTTAATAATACGTTTGCTGTTTTTCTTTTCTCTTTTTACTTTCTTTCTCTTTTCCCTTCACTCCATTCATCCTTGTCTCTATGTCGATTCAATTTATTTATTTACTCTTCACTGTGTACCGGAAGTGCCCTCTACCCCTATTCTTAACTTCCTGTTCAAGCAGGTCGTATCAAGTTTTAACCCCAAATGACAGAAGGGAATAAAATCAAGTACAATCAATGGTCTATTCAAATTCACTCCAAGATAGTCACCTGCTAATTTGCGCCTCGTCAACAACTTTACATTCAAGTGTCTGTCTCTTCCGTTAAGTCTTCCATCGCATGCAAGCCTGAAATAAACAAGACATGAACAAATAAAATGTCTGTTGAAATACATTGTGCGAGACATTTTCTTTGGTTTTAGCAATGACTTTGAGAATTAACACATATCGGACAATGATATTTGGTTAAAAATATATCTTTCTCAAAGGGAGATACAAAATGTTTATATTTACGTAAACAATCATCTGTAAGTTGAGTTTTAAAGACCCGAATTTTACCCGAAAGTCGTGTTTCAATTTATATAAGAATAATACTTTCGTTAGATTTATGCATATCAGAAAGCGTTGAAGCAACGAAATGAAAGACGTTTTTGCCATTGGCAAGAGTAAGTTGCAGAAACATAAACTATGTAACAATTACTTATGAAAAACTATACTGCAAATGAAAAGATCAACTCGAAATAACATCCTCTCGAACATTTAGTTATTGACATTATTAGCACAGGTAGAGCGTTTATCATATCATATTTAGATCAATGCGCAGTTCACCAGAAACTGTTGAGAGTTGGTAAGTGTTGCTTGAACAGGTTGCTGCTCGATTATAGCCAGTTTCAAAATAGACAAATTTGAAGCACGTTACAGTATAAGAAAATAGTAAGGCGGGAAAATGCTTTCTGAAAATGCCTTTTATATGCAATCAAATACTTTGCTATCGTAATTGTTAAATAATCATCAGGGACTGGGGCTGTCGTTTTCACTTTAGATTGACCAAAAATCTAACATCAGAATTTGATGGGGAATGAATTATTGGTCGAGTCAAGAACGTTTAAACACAATATATATATATATATATATATATATATATATATATATATATATATATATATATATATACAGGGTGCGATTCAGTGTGTTCTATTTATGTTATATACCGTACCTGTGAACACTAATGCCCCACTACTCATAAATACGTTGAACGCAATTGTAAGTGGTGGGGGGGTAATATGCTGTCTAAGTAGTCCACCACTAGCAATGGTTTACCTACTTCACGCCGCTGGCGAGTATTGTATTTGGTTGATGCTATGAAGATTACTATTTCATTTACAACCTCCGTTTTGGTTATTCCTCATTCAGTAACCCTTCCTAAGTTACAACAATTTATAAGTCAAAGTCGGATACTAAATCTTAGAAATAAAGAAAATTATACAAAATAAATCAACAAATGAATAATATAAGCGAATAAATAAATATATATATATATATAAGCAATCTTGAGTTTCTAACCATAAATAAAGCTAACTTATAGACATCCGTACATCCAAACACCCAACCGCCATAAATAATCCTCA